GTATTTACACATAATATTATTAATTACACATAATTAATATTTATAAATTAATTTTTTAGAACTAACTATTATACATTATTTAATTGTTATTTATTTTTATTTCAAGTCTGTTATATTCATTGTGTATTGTATTTATTCTCGTAATAATTTTTATTTAATTTAGTTTGCTGATTTTCAAATTTATAGTTAAATTTAATAAATTATAATAAATACAAATATTTAGTAAGTGAATTGATAAGCGCATGTTTTATATGATAAGCGCAAACACCGGATATTATATTGTAATTATTTGTATTTATTGTGAAATTTAATTTTGATGTAAAAACACATTATTTCATCACATATTTCATTGGAATATAAATAGAAACTAATTCAGAGAAATACATAAATATTTTTACATTGTTTAAAATACAAAACAATATTATTTCAGTTAATAAATGCAACAAACGTTATTTTATTGATTATGAAATTACTGTACTTTTAATTTAACCTACGATTTGGGTCAAAATATTCATTAGTAAAATAAGTTTTTATTAATAACTATTAGCAATATTCAAAACATTTATTTTTAAAGTTTTATCATACAATCTTATATTTACATTACAATATTATTTTGCTCTAATATTAATATTTATTTAAAAAGTATGAAATATATTGCACCAAAACACCCTTCTCAGAAATATATTCATAAAAAATTTTAAACAAACAAACTCATAATAATTACATTTAATAGCATAACTCTATACCTGAATAAACATTTGGAAAAACCGCACAAACAATGAACACCTTTTGCACAACATATGCATAATTAGCTTGTTTATGCCAAACATACATCATTTTATACATAAATCATAAAAATAGAAATTCCTTTCATTAAAAAATTTTACTATCAAATGAAAAATGACATACAATTCTATATAATCGACACAATGGTATTGACACAAATGTGTGTCATTTTTATTGTCATAGTTTTTAAACAAATTTTCAATTCAATGCTGGACTTGAACTTCAAAACCAAAACTAAATATAAAAATCAAAAGTTGTATTCAAAGGGCTGTCAGTCGGAACACAATAGTCGTCGCACAAAGTCATGGAAACTCATAATTTACTACTCCTATCGGTAGCGCTACTAGTCGTGGACTGCGCCTATGGACAGCAACCGCCCGGTGCTCGTCAGCAGCGGACTAACAGCCCTATTATGCAGATAAAGAAGTCGGTGGACAAGAAGTTGTGTTCCGACACCGACTATACCCCGGATATTGTGGCCAAAATCGAGGACTGCGACAAATTTGACCCTCACTATAAAANGACTAACAGCCCTATTATGCAGATAAAGAAGTCGGTGGACAAGAAGTTGTGTTCCGACACCGACTATACCCCGGATATTGTGGCCAAAATCGAGGACTGCGACAAATTTGACCCTCACTATAAAATTGATGTAAAATTAGTTTTTGTGTTAAAAAATAGTTTTTTTTGTTAATTATTTTTTGTGAATTGATTGACAGATGATGTATAAGGAGTGTCAGGATCTGGTGCCTAAGGGTGAGCTCAGTTGGAATGACAGGCGAAAATATAATTGCAAGGTATGTGTTGAACTCATTTATTAATTTTTGTACATAGGTAATTCAATAAAATAAAATGGAAATATGCTAAATCAACTACTGTATAAACTTAATATTCAGTTTCCCATATATCGTATATACAAGTACTTATATGATTGATTTATTATTTATTTTATTATTTAATTTGTAACTAATTTAATAGTGCAGTTATTTGACATATTACACCAAGTATGTGAGCAATGTCCTTTTCTTATGTACATAATAGGTTCGCGAGTGTTATGATCGCAAGTTTGGGTCCAAGGATTACAATAAGACATGGGATGAGATCCGCAAGTTATCCGACGTTGAGATCGAAAAGAGACAAATGCAGAAATTTGTGAGTATTTTGTGTTTAAATGTGATTTTAATATTATATTAAATTTATTATGATATTAATTTGTATTCATAGGAGTGTCTGGAGAAAGCGTTGTAAAGCAATAGACTATTTTTGAACCACTTTTTCGTTTGTTTGTGTGTATTATTAATTATATAATTTTATAATAAAGCCATTGAGAGTTGTACTGATGATATATATTATAAATAAAAGTTTACAAAAAAATATAATTGTATATATTATATAAACTTTATTCAATGTTAAGTGTTTACATTACAGATTTTAGTTAACTCAATATAAGTGACAGTCATACCATGGATATACGGAAATCAAATCAGGAACTGATCAAGA